AGAGGATTCACTATAAAAAGGGTTTCACAGACCTTCAGACAAATTAACCCTCTTTCTAAAAAATCAAGAACTCTAAAAATAATAATAGTAATATTATATGTTCGCTCATCTTGCTTTTGACAGCGTAAGAAAGTTCATCTTAACATACGGTGTAGTAAAAGACAACAAACCCATCTAATTTTAGGTCAGTGTTCCCTTGAGACTAAATATTTAAAAATTGACCCAAACATTAAATTCAGGTGATAGGTGAGCAATAGTTTTTTGTTTTTTTAATCAAGTGCTAACATTATAGCATTTTAAGCTTTGAAACCATTATAGTAATACATTCCCAGCATTATACAACTAGGCCTGAATTGGGTAAGTTAGGCACATAATGTTAAGTCTTACTACCACATCTAGTGTTTACTATCATGGAGTAGTCCTAAAACGACAATTCATTGGGACTACCCACATAAGCAATCAGTGCACAGTAGCATTTGCATGATCAGGTCCTAAAGTGTGGTGTACAACACATTCAGCTATCTAAAGCATTTCTAAGTCCTAAATGTCCAATGTTGCTCAGGAGATAGAAAGGAATGAGGAAAAAATAGTTAACTGCAAAGTTCCTGTTAGAAAGGAATGCTGCAACCGCATTGCCAAGCCAGCATGAGAAAGCTTTACATGCTGTAACAAGTTTCAATTTGAATGAAAATGCCCATTTTAAAAACAAATTTTATGCCAACTACTACTTTAAAAAAAAAAAAAAAAAAGGACTCAAGACGACATGCATCTGAACTTCAGCAAAACTAGATGAAAGCTGATATTTTAATTCTATCAGACCAAATAAAAAGCGAGAACTAAGAGCAACAGGAAAAAGTGCCTGCCAATAAGCAGTTTCTCATTATTGCATTAGAAATTTAAATGCATTTAATTTACAAGAATTCACAATGGCAAAACTGAATGGCAGTTGTTCAAACAGTAAAACGTATAATCAGTCAAAAATTCTCTACATTATTGCAGAAATACTACACACTGGCACATGATTTAGAAGAATGGGGAAATCTGATCAGTTTAACAAAGAATTGGACTAAAAGTTTTTTTGAATTTGGTTACTTCCAACTATAATTGCTTTTGAAGGTCTGTATGTGAGTGACTTTTTGCCTACATCACCAGCTTCTGAGTTAATGGAGAGTTTCATCTGGAATACAATCTCTGGTATTACTCCTGGAGAGATAAACACTTCCAATGTACTATATAAAGTAGACTGATACTGTGGAATACTTTCAGTAAATACTGGTTTTAGATAACTTTCTTCTGATAATATAGTGTATTACATTAAGAAAATAAAAAACCCTTGTAGGATTGCAAGAAAGCCCATCAGGATTACTTGGAATAATAATTAGTTATACGCTGAGACCATGTAAGCAAGGGCATAAAAGCTTATTCATATTAAGATGTAAAACACCATCTCTGAAATGTAACAGTTAAAGAACTCCAGCAGGGTTAACACTTCCCCCGCCTCCTCCAGGACACCCCCCACCCAAATACTCATAAAAGGGGAGTGGCAAGCTCGGAGTATGGCAAATAAATGTTTTCAGTTCTGGTTTCATTCTTAGTTGGGACCTACAATAGGTTTTCAACTTGTAATCAGAACTCTAGCTAGCTATACTATGATTTTCACAACTTTCTAAAGTGCTCAGACTATCTACTATACAAAGACTTACAATAGTGAACTAATATTCTAATGGCGCTACAATCCTGACAGTTTCTGAAAGTTTTTGGTTGATCAGAATAAGCCACAAAGGATGCCCTTAAAAGCTTGTGAGACTAAAATAAACTTACCTTAGCAGCAGTCCCCATAATATATGATTTACCTTAAGTATTTCAGCATAAGATTTTAAAACAAAAATAAACCTGCACAAGTTTTGCTACAAACTTTGAAAAGCATGTCAAGTCAAGTCATGAAAAAACTGTACTGCACATACAGTTAGAATTATAATGGAAACATTCACAAGCCTAGCTTAATTTTCACTATACTGCATATGGTATGTACTTTTCAAATTTCATTCATCTTGGATCATAAAGTAGTCTAGTTATTTTCTCCTTCTAATCCCATGGTACTGGCACAATATTGCTCTCTCTGAATTTATTATGTAAAATTTAAGATTAATGACATTTCTACTCAATTTTTTTTACACTCCCACTTTAAAAGAAATAATCACAAAATCAAAGTTTTGGTTCTATAGGCTAATGTAAAATAAATGGGTACATGATCCCTGGTTAGGTCTGGAATGAGAAAAAACTGCATTACTTAAAAGAAAACACTAAATCTGTATGAAACATACATTTTTTGAAACCCTTAAATTAAGAGTACACAATTTGTGACTCTTGAGATACTGTTAACATCTACATAAACATATTTATGTTAGATGTGCATATTGCTTTAGGAAAAATCTTTGTTTTCAATACAACACATCTTTCTTCTCTTGAGTTCTGCAGGAAGACAATTATGCTTACTTACTTAAAGACCATTGAAACGAAAGACCATTGAAAAATATTTTGTCTACAAATTCATAATTCCAGACTGTGCATGCCATGTTATGTGGCCATATGGCCCATAAATGACAAAATATTTCATACATGCATTGAGACGTGCTGGATAGGGTTGCCAACCCTCCTGGATTGGCCAGGAGTCTACCGGAATCGGCACCAATCTCCTGGTGGCTATTGAAAGCAATCCAGGAGATTTTAATAGCTGCTAAAAGCCCGGTTGCCAGCGCAG